AAAAAAAAAAAAAAAAAAAGAAAAGAAAAAAAGAAAAAGAAAAAGAAATAATTAGAATACTCCCCAAATGTCTTAGAAGCAATTGGAAAATGGAGAAAATTGTTAGATGAAGACAGCTTATAACAGATGACACAGGGGTATTTAATAAATATTTTAAATGTAAAGCAATGAGCAAAAAAAAAAAAGTAATAATCAATGAATTATAGAGGTGGATGAAACAAGCAAAAACAAGAGAAGATCTGGGAAAAGACCACTTAAACTATTTAAAGTTGATGCTGTGAAAGTGAAAAGGGGAACTAAGACTTTTTTGGAAGAATGGTACGGACTAAAAACAGACAGTGGAGCTACTGGCCCAAGAAGAATTTCAAAAACCCAGAACCAAAAGGAACACAGGATTGTATGGGCAGACTGGGGACACAAAGAACAAACTTTATTCCTTTTACCAAAATTTGACTAAAGACCATGGAGGCAGAAGCTGTGCTGTGGTCACCACATCACCTGGTCCCCAGCCCGGCCCTGAGGCTCCCTTCATGTCGCTCTTGGATCGGGGAGCTCGGTGTATGCAGAGGACACAAGGTGGGCAAGGGCTTTGCTTTGACCCTCTGCCCCTGACACACGCCCCAGGTACCCTGATGGAACGGTCAATGTGGCAACAAGCCTGTGCTTAGAAAAGTTATCTGAGCTTTCCAAGGAGGTTGAAAAGGTGAGAACTCTTCTGTTCTCACAGCGTGCTAATCACCATCACTCCCCAGGGTGCTCTGGGTATTTCCTCAGTGGCTAATTTCCCCTGATGAATTACATTGCAGCTTCGGTTTTATTTGCTTCAGGTTTTTACTTAGATATAACTAGTTTGGTAACATATAGAATCGTCTGAGCATGAGAAACTGTTCTCTTTCTTTATATGACAGGTGTTGAGGTCTCATCTACAAAACTCCCATCATAAGGACATTTTTGCAATCTCCTCTAAACACAGTGAAATACAGAAGAACTCTGTTAGTCTTGCTGGAATTTCATGGAATGTTTAGGCCTGTGTTTTCCCAAATGTTTCATCAAATGCTGTTCCCACCAGTGTACCTTCATGGTATATGCATATTAGGGGGCGGGGAAAGTGGCTCCAAAGTCAAATACATTTGAGAACACTGCTTGCTACATTACCGTTTAGATATTCACAGCATATGAAAGCATATTAAGAGAAGTCACATGATAACTAAACCTATTTATGTAATCCAATGTACCCAGATGAATTTAAACATGAATATATTTTCCCCACTGGGTCACTGACATGCAGATTTGGGGAAATATTGACCCTCTGTATAATGTTTCAGTCATCTTTAAAATTTTGTCATCACCATATACTGTTAACAGATGGCAGTTCCAGGTTCTTGGTCAAACTGAAGAAAATATCTTTCACAGGACCAAGTAGAGTCTGCATCATGGTGATCAGCAAAAGAAAAGGAAGAAAGGGACAGACAGACAGAACATTCAAACAATAGGACTTTATTGTTAAGTAAAAGTACACACAGAAATGTGTGCAGGCATCCCCCATGAGTGAGAGGCATCCTGCAGATTCCTAAGGGGAGGGTTTATATGTTTTCCTGGGATGGGTGTGTTTCTCTATCTGAATTAAGGGGAGGAATATTTGGCTGTGGAGGAGGATCTAGGGTAATTAAGTCCTAATAGGCCGATGCAACATTGCATCAGCTTCCTGTCATGCATCCCTGAGTTTCTGCGGGTTTTGGTCATGTGCAGTGGCCTTTCTGGTCTAGCATCATGGGTGGAAAGTCATGTAGTGGTCGTCTGCACGTTTGTTCCTCCTCGTGCACAGTGTGGCAGTTTTTGTCATCTGTAAATTTCCAGGTGTAGCATGCTGATTGATAGGGTGGTGAAGCTGTTGTCAGCTCATTATGGGTTCATGAACTGCCAGGCAAGGAGGTGGTTGGTGCCAATCCGGTCTGAATATTTATGAGCAGCCTCCCTGGGGCGTGCCCTAGTCTACCCTGCCTCAATGCTACTATAAATGCGAGAGCACTTATATGTCTGTAGTTAGTTCCTTTGTCACTCCGTGGGCTGCAGTAAATTAAGAAGAGCCATTACTTGCCAGCTGCTTTAGTCCATTTGTGTTGTTATAACAAAATACCTGAAACTGGGTGTCTTATAAAGAACAGAAATTTATTTTCTCACAGTTCTGGAGGCTGGGAAATCCAAGATCAAGGTGCTGGCAGATTCAGTGTCTGGTGGGAGCCATTCTGTGCTTCCAAGATGATGCCTTGTGGCACATCCTCCACAGGGAGGGACACTGCGTCCTCAGATGGCAGGAGGCAGAAGGGCAAAAACAGATACTGCATGAAACCTCTTTTATAAGATCCTTCATCCCATTCTCAAAGGAAGTGCCCTCATGGCCTAATCATCTCTTAAAGGCCCCACCTCTTAATACTATCACAGTGGCCATTAAGTTTCTTTTTTTTTTTCTAATTTATTTATTTATCATTACTATTTTTTTTACATTCTATGATGTTGTTGTGGAGCAGTTGGGGAGAATGGGAAGAGAAGAAGGGGGATGGGGATAGGGTGAGAGGAGGAAAAAGAAGGGGGGCATGACTGAAGCCCATGACATCCTCCTCATTCCAGCAAGGGAGCCCAGGGGGCTTCCAGCAGCAGGTCAATCATTGCTGGGCTGGATACAGACATCGAGGGGGCATGGCTGAGGCCCTTGGCCCCCCACCTCCCTGACTTGGGAGCCAGGGCACTTCCAGCAGCAGCCCGGTGGTCATTGCTGGGCTGGTTGTGGATGTTGGGGGGGCATGGATGAGGCCCTTGGCCTCAGCCCCCCACCACTCCAGCTTGGG